TCAATATTAATTTGGAAAAAATTGATAATTTGGAAAAAATTGATATTTCTAAGCTGATTTTCGAAAATCTGACCATTCCAGGAAAAAATTGATATTTCTAAGCTGATTTTCGAAAATCTGACCATTCCAAACGGAAGAGCATAAAAAATTGATATTTCTAAGCTGATTTTCGAAAAAATTGATATTTCTAAGCTGATTTTCGAAAATCTGACCATTCCAAACGGAAGAGCATACTTAATTGATATTTCTAAGCTGATTTTCGAAAATCTTGATATTTCTAAGCTGATTTTCGAAAATCTGACCATTCCAAACGAAAGAGCATACTTTTTTCTATATAATGGCATATTCTTTAGAGATCTTTTCTAAATAGTTAAAATTTTATGAAGAATATAGACAAAATTTGAGTATCGTGAGTATCGTTCAATAGCGAATTTTCATGGTTTTTTCAATTTTAATTTGGAAAAAAGTGATATTTCTAAGCTGATTTTCGAAAATCTGACTATTCCAAACGAAAGAGCATACTTTTTTCTATATAATGGCATATTCTTTAGAGATCTTTTCTAAATAGTTAAAATTTTGTGAAGATTATAGACAAAATTTGAGTATCGTTCAATAGCGAATTTTCATGGTTTTTTCAATTTTAATTTGGAAAAAATTTATATTTCTAAGCTGATTTTCGAAAATCTCTCCATTCCAAACGAAAGAGCATACTTTTTTCTATATAATGGCATATTCTTTAGAGATCTTTTCTAAATACTTAAAATTTTATGAAGAATATAGACAAAATTTGAGTATCATTCGATAGCGAATTTTCATGGTTATTTCAATTATAAATTGAAAAAAAGTGATATTTCTAAGCTGATTTTCGAAAATCTGGATCTTTCAAACGAAAGAGCATACTTTTTTCTATATAACGGCATATTCTTTAGAGATCATTTCTAAATACTTAAAATTTTATGAAGAATATAGACAAAATTTGAGTATCGTTCGATAGGAATTTTCACGGTTTTTTCAATTTTAATTTGAAAAAAAGTGATATTTCTAAGCCGATTTTCGAACATCTGACCATTTCAAACGAAAGAGCATACTTTTTTCTATATAATGGCATATTCTTTAGAAATCTTTTCTAAATAGTTAAAATTTCATGAAGAATATAGACAAAATTTTAGTATCGTTCGATAGCAAATTTGAGTATCGTTCGATAGCAAATTTTCACGGTTATTTCAATTTTAAATTGAAAAAAGTGATATTTCTATTCGATAGCAAATTTTCACGGTTATTTCAATTTGATAGCAAATTTTCACGGTTATTTCAATTTTAAATTGAAAAAAGTGATATTTCTAAGCTGATTTTCGAAAATCTGCCCATTCCAAACGAAAGAGCATACTTTTTTCTATATAATGGCATATTCTTTAGAGATCTTTTCTAAATAGTTAAAATTTTATGAAGAATATAGACAAAATTTGAGTATCGTTCGATAGCGAATTTTCATGGTTATTTCAATTATAAATTGAAAAAAAGTGATATTTCTAAGCCGATTTTCGAATATCTCTCCATTCCAAACGAAAGAGCATACTTTTTTCTAAATAATGGCATATTCTTGAGAGATCTTTTCTAAATAGTTAAAATTTTTTGAAGAATATAGACAAAATTTGAGTATCGTTCGATAGCGAATTTTCATGGTTATTTCAATTATAAATTGAAAAAAAGTGATATTTCTAAGCTGATTTTCGAAAATCTGACTATTCCAAACGAAAGAGCATACTTTTTTCTATATAATGGCATATTCTTTAGAGATCTTTTCTAAATAGTTAACATTTTATGAAGAATATAGACAAAATTTGAGTATCGTTCGATAGCGAATTTTCATGGTTATTTCAATTTTAAATTGAAAAAAAGTGATATTTCTAAGCTGATTTTCGAAA